TGCTTATATGTACTGAAGAGATGCAACTGTACCCTTGTCTTCTTTATTAGACTCTTTTACATAGAATGGGATGTTAAATGTTTCCACATTTTAATAGAATCAAGCTTCTTCTGCCTACTCATTCTAACACAGGATAAAAATGACAGTGTCACACACAGAGAACAGAACACTCCTTTGGTTGCTTCAACATGTTTTTTTTTTTCTTCTTTTTTTTTGGCCTCATTTTCTTCTCTGCTGAGTTTTTGAGTCCAAATTTAGTAGGGATGACTAAGAAATTGCCAGGATGTGACAGAGCATTCAGTTCATTGAGTCCTTCCTTGCCATTTTCCAATAGTTGTAACAATTGCCAAGACTTCCTCTTAGCGTTGTAGGTGACACATTATTCTTAACAGCTGTTAAATCACTCATCCAAGATCTGTCCATGCAATGACAGCCTCCTTATAAATATAACTGATTTTATTCTGTGGTATAAAGGAAATTCCATGCAGACATTTTGGAAGCTGATATTCTAATAAGTCATGTAATTTTCAGTATTTAGTTTCGATAACTAATCATTGCTCCACTAATCAACTAGTCTACCATGAGCTTGGGGGATGCCGCAGGATAGATTTGGAAATACAACAAGTTCATAGTTGCCATGCATGGATATAAGTCACAGGCCATGCCAGTGACCTAGATAGAGCCTCTTGGTGTTGATATAGACATAATCAGTTTTGATTGGGAGAAATCCTGTGTAATTCAAAGAGGAATTGTATTTAAAATAGTCCTTAAGGGATGAAAAGAAAACTAGGAGACAGAGAAAGAGAAGGATGGATTACTAAACAAGTGAATGGCATTTGGAAAGTCATGCATGGTTCAGTGGTAGAGGACCAAAGAGTGATTGTGATTGAATAGTGGAGGACTTCAAAGGAAACACCCAGTCATTAGTTGCTTATATTATACGAAAGGTGAAATCATCCAGAGTTCATGAGGAAGGGAACTAATGGGAGAAATCCACGGAGCCTGCTTAAAGGGCAAAGGAATTTATTATTGTACAGAACAGAATTGTTGCAGGTTCTGGAACACTGGGGCATAGTCTCAGGTGGTTCCAGCTGTCTCAGTCAGTCCTGCATCCAAGCCCACAAGAGAGAGAAGAGAGCTGTATATGTGCATCTCAGGCCTTAAGAGTAGCCAAGAGGTCATGCCCCATAGATATGTATTTTAAGGTCATAGGCAGGTAGAGCAGTTACCTGCTATGTCTCTAGGGCTGGGCTTCGGGGTCATAGAACAGATATCCACTACATCTCCCCCTTTTGTCTAAATAAGAAAGTTCTAACCTAATATAAAACTATATATAATAGGAATGATTATCAAGTATTGTCCAGGAGAGGGGAAAAGTAATAACCTAAATAAAACAGAAATACAACCAGCAAGAACAACAGCAAACAAGAGACATATATTAAAATCCAGAGATGTCCACAACATAGGTAAATTGTATGTTAAAGAGATTATTCCAAAAGCTATCCTATCCTGAAGAATCTGAATCTAGTACTTAGCATGTTCTAGCTAAGATACAAGAAAATTGTAACTGTAACTATTAGTCTTCAACCCCATCAAAGACCTGAGAAAGAATATAATAGTACCTGAGAAAATGGCAAATGCATGCAAGCAACTTACAGTAATCTTTCGAGACTAGACAGAGACAGCTGGTAGCCTGGACAGTCACCTAAAGTTTCTCAGCACTGTTGGAGCATCCAATTTGACTACAGGCCTAGAATATCTGACAGACCATTTTCGGAAGCAGGAATTTTGAAAGACCATCTTACCCTGTCTTGGCAAGGTTCAGTACTTGCTTTTCTTTGTGTCCTGCTCATCTGGAAAGGACAGCGTTCATATTGTCAGCAATCAAAGCAAGGACAGTTCTTTGCCCAGCAGTCATTTTTGTGCCAAGAGGAAGACAAACATTCAAATAGAGTGTCTTAGAAGCCCAACATTCTCTTGAGAGTAGATCAGTGCTGCCAGGAGCAATCTTGTCTCATGTCAACAGAGTTCTAAGTTATCAAAACGTTTAAATGCCATATTCTCTAGGTCTATGAAGTGTTTGAAGATTACCTGTCCATCTGACATATGATTCTGTAAATCTGGAGAACCTAACTAACATAACTACAGAAATAACAAGCATTGGTGACTATAAATCTGTAAGTCTTATCTACCTAAATAACCTAAGGACTAAGGCTTTATATAAACAAGGTAAACAGTCTGTAAGCAAATGCACAGTAAAAGGACAATGATTTCAAAATTGTAACAATACATAAAATATCTTAAACAGAGGTAGAAATGTATAGTGTAATATGCAATATGACAACAATCTTTAATATTTATCAATATACAAGTATATTAAACAGGTATAACAATAGTAGGATAAATACAATTTTATATTTATATCAATATATAAAATATTTCAAATAGAAGTATGAACATGTGTACAATATGATGATTATAGTTTTGAATTTGTATCAATATACAAATTATTTTAAATAGGAATATAAAAATAGTTTACATTTGTATCAATATATAAGAATCCATAGCCGGGCGGTGGTGGCGCACGCCTTTAATCCCAGCACTCGGGAGGCAGAGGCAGACAGATCTCTGCGAGTTCGAGGCCAGCCTGGGCTACAGAGTGAGTTCCAGGAAAGGCGCAAAGCTACACAGAGAAACCCTGTCTCGAAAAACCTAAAAAAAATAAAAAAAATAAAAATAAAAATAAAAAAAGAATCCATATCAGTACAAATTAGCTAGGTTGATAGTTTGCTAAATTAGTTTATTAGTAGATACAATAATCTATTTTAATATCCTATACCTATCTAAGGGTATAGGAGAGACCATGCCCCAGGGGCATATATTTCAAGGTCATAAGCAGGTAGAGCAGTTACCTGCTACATCTCTAGAGCTGTGCTTCATTGTCATAGAACAGATATCCACTACAGGGAACCTTACTTTAAGAAAACTAATACGGGCTGGAGAGATGGCTCAGCCGTTAAAGGCTAGGCTCACAACCAAAAATATAAGAAAGCAAATACATCAGGAGAAAAGGAAGACCAATTGTGAGATCCATATAACAGTCTGCTGAAGAGGTCTTAAAGTCATATACTTGCTATAAATATGGAAGCTAAAGGCTGTGGCATCATGAAATAGCATGTGGATGAATGTAAACATCCCCTGGGTTTAAGTGTGAGAAACTGCAACTTGGTAGATTTCAGATACTGAAAGAAGAATGGAAGGGAGAAGTGGAGGATGGAATAAGTGCTGACCTGTGCCTCAGCTATTATTCTTTATTTCTGTGTTGAATTCTTTCCCATCCTTCAAGACTCAGATATAACGATCTCTTATGTCTATGAACATGTCCTTAGTGCCCTTGTCAGAATTAAGTCTGACTTCCCCCTCTCTTCTCAGACAATACATATCTTTTTATGGACTTTCTTTCTGTACTTATGGCAGCACATACATCTCATGCTCTAGTCATTTGTCTAACTTGATCATCTGCATCATTCAACAGATTTCTTTACAAATGATTTCTGAATTTTTATTAAAGGAAAATCTACTTTCCAGGGATGAATACTTTATCCAAGTAATGATTTAATTCACAAAGGACTCCAGAAGTTTTCCTCATCACTAGAGAAAATGTAGAGATTTTTCATCAAATGTCTTTGTAGACATACTTTGGCTTTCTCTGTGTTGAGAAATCCCATAAAGAGAAATTTTCAGAACCCATAAATAGAACTCTTTTAAGTTTCTGCCATGTGACAGTTGCCCCAGAAGTACATTTCTGCTTTAGTAGGTTGAATTTGCATGAATCCTAGGAGATCTATGGTGTGTACTCAGACTGAATGAAATAACCCCCAAAGATGCTCTGACCAAGTGCATTCTGCAGAGCAAATACGGACATCAAGCATATTGCTGAATGAGGCAGGGTTTAATAAAAAAGAAAAGAAAATTACTTGTATGCTTTCCTTTCTGAGAAATGCTGACAAATGTGTTCCCCTTCACTAAAGTAACTTTTAGAACATTTCAGATGTTGTTGCTCAGCTGGTGTGTATGCTGAGAATGATACTAAATATGAAAATGAAGTAAAAAAGAAACACAGAGACACAGTTTAGAAAAGACCACTGGCCTAGAAAATGGGCACAACAAAACAGGATTTGTAAACATTAGGCAAAATTATCAACTGTTGTTCCTGATAACATCTCAGCAAATTAGGGAAAAAATCTGATAACATCATTTCCTTGTAGAACTACTTTAGAAATCTAGGCAACCAGCACTGTAGTACTGCTTTAAGACTCAGGCAACTAGTAACAATACTATATGATAACCTGAGAATCTATTAAAAGGTAACCTGAGAATTTATTAAAAGTAATCACATGGCTGGTGAGATAGCTCAGCAGGCAGTCACTTTGCACACAAAGCCTAAATTCAGTCCCTGAAACATAAGTAAAAGTGAAAGGAGAAAATATATTTGTTTTTTGACCTCCACATCTGAGCCATACACATCACACACACACACACACACACACACACACACACACACACACACACACACACACACACACGATAATAGTACAAAAAGTAAATGCAAAACTAAATGTTAATTTTCTTTTATTTATTGTTGAGTCATACAAAGCTACTATAGCAGCTTTGTGCTCCTCTTTCAATCCTTTTGCTCTTGATTTAGTCCACCATACACTTATGTGGCTTGTCCAAATCTCTGCATTGCTTACTGCAAAGAGCCAATCACTGATCAACAGCATTTTTACTTCGGGTGTTCTCTTAAAATATCACATAAATTGCTACATATAGTTTTTTGGTTTCCAGTGATAATAACTTGTTCTATTCAAATAGGATACCCTTCATACAAGCTTTAACAAAGCATTATCTAAACTTCTGAATGGTATATTCTATCTATTCTGCTTGAAATTCATACCCTTATAAATACTGACTTTTTTGTTTATTTACTTTTGTTGCAGGAACATTTCACACCTGAGTGCAAATTCAAAGAATCAGTATTTGAAAATTATTATGTGACATACTCATCAATGATCTACCGTCAGCAGCAATCAGGCCGAGGGTGGTATCTGGGCCTGAACAAAGAAGGAGAGATCATGAAAGGCAACCATGTGAAGAAGAACAAGCCTGCAGCACATTTTCTGCCCAAACCACTGAAAGGTAAATTTGATACCCTATGGACTATGGATTCTTCTATGAAAACCACTAATTTCATTAAGTCTTGTTTGTGCTTTTGGGTGTAAAACATAATTCTTCCATATTAGGGCATCTACCCATAAATTTTCAAGCATTTCACAGCACTAAAAACCATCAAGACCAAAATGTAAAAACCATGCCAACATTCAAACACTGACAGTAGCATCTACTCTCATCTTAGCTTATCCATAGTAACACCTTTCTTAGAGGGAAGTACCTAAATTGCAAACTCAAGACAGCTAAGGACCCTAAATTATGCCAAAATGACTTGTAGAGACTAACCATGGAGTTCAGAATGTGTACATATTTAATCTTTATAGGAAAACCCCTTGGTCAATATAGCCTTAAGAATTTTCATTCTCAGTTTTTTTTAGATTAATAGGGAAATAAAGGAGAGAGAACTATTATCTTAGGGTTTCTGTTGCTGTAATAAAACACCATAGCCTAAGACAACTTGGGGAGGAAAGGCTATATTTAATCTTATACTTCCACATCACAGTCCATCATCAATGGAAGTCAGTACAAGAACTCAAACAGGGCAGGAATCTGGAGGCAGGAGCTGATGCAGAGGGCATGGAGAGGTGCTGCTTACTGGCTTGCTCCTCACGGCTTGCCCAACCTGCTTTCTTATAGCACCAAGGACCACCAGCTCAGCCTTATTTCTTATAGTACCCAGAACCACTAGCCCAGGGTGGCACTGCCCACAGTGGTCTGGATCCTCCTATGTCAATCATCAATCAAGGAAATGCTCCACAGGTTTACCTGTCCAGTTTAGAGGGTACATTTACTTAGCTGAGGGCTTTTCTTTCTAAATGGTTCTACCTTGTGTCCAATTGACATAAAACTAGCCAGCACAATTGACTCCTTATCAACTTGATACACAAATACATCACAACTCAACTAGAAACTTTCCTTTCTTATTTGTCCCCATGATGCCATATTAATATTAGTATCCCAGTGTAAAACATTCCAAATTTTTTAAAGTTCCATGGTCTTTAAATTTTCAAACATTTTAAAAGTTCAGTCTCTTCAAAACATCCAACATCTCTTTCAAGTTCAAAGTTTCTCTGAAATATCTAAAGTCTCTAAAATACCAAACTCACTCTAAAATAGTCTTAACTGTGAGCTTTTGTAAAATCAAAAACAAATTATATACTTTCTTACTATAAGAAGGAATAACCGTAGGATAGTCACAATCAAATCAATGCAAAACAAATATTAAACAATGTGAAAAGTTCAGTGTTAGATGTTCGGGACACATTTATGATGTGCTCCAAAATGCCCTGGGAGCAGCACTTCTTGAAGCCTTGCTATTCACAGCACACACAACCTGTTTTCTAGGCTCAATCTGGCTCTGCTCCACAGCTGGTGCTCTTCTTGATGGTTATCCCATGTTACTAACATCTCCAAAATGTTGGGATCTCTATTCCACCTTCGCTGCACTTTCAACAATAGCCTCTCTTGGGCTCTTCTCTTTAGGGACTCTTACCCTGCACATGGTGTCAATCCTCAATGTTTCTCAATGACCCCTTCAATTCTGGGGCTTCTACTTCAATTGAAACTACACATTCACCAGTGGCCTCTCCTGGCCTCTCACAATGCAAAACCTTAGCTTCTCTCTATGAACCCTTCATGCCTTCAAAACTAGTAACACATGGTAAACACATATCATCAATTTTGGTTGCCAGCACAAGATACAGCCTTGGCCACCTTTGGATCATAGCTCTGTGTACTGACCCTAAGGAAACACTTCTCAAAAGATTTTGCCTCAGCAATGCTAGTATCTTCTTAATTACATCTGATTCTTTAGCCCCAGTTGACAGGTATCATTTGTCCCAACAAAGCAAAAGCATTACTTTGGTGGGTCTTAATTCAAACTATCAAATGGCTCATAGAGTCTTTAGGGGACACTCAAAACTTCCCTCTGAAACTTCACAAGACAGGACTCCATCATCTGCATTGATCTCAGGTCTATATTCTTTGTTCCCACAACAACTCACTAAGTTCTAAACAATCAATGGCTTTTCCAGCCCAACATTCCAAAGTTCACAGTCCTCCCCAAAACATGCTCAAGTCTGTCACAGCAATACCTAATGATCTGGTGCCAATTTCTGTTTTAGTAAGGATTACTATTGCTGAGATAAAACACCATTACCAAAAACAACTTGGGGAGGAAAGGGTTTATTTCACTTCCACATCACAGCCCATCATTAAAGGAGGTCAAGGCAGGAACCTAGAGGCAAGAATTAAAGCTAAGGTTATAGAGAAATGTTGTTTAGTGGTTTGTTCAGCCTGCTTTCTGATAGCACCCATGACCACCAGTTCAGTGGTGGCACCAGTCACACACCCTCCCACATCCTCCCACTATAGGAAGCCTACAGTCCAGTCTCCTGGAGGCATTTTCTTAATGAAGGTTTCCTCTTCCAAAATAACTCTAGCTTGTGTCAGGTTGACACAAAACTAGTCAGAATAGTTATAAAAAGAAACTGGGAAATAGCAATATTAGCAGGGAGACATAGTGAAGAGACAGACAATAGAAATAAAATAGAAGAGATTGCCCACCTGAGATTACAGTAGAGGCTTAAAAGTACTACCCATCCCCTTACACACCACACATGCACACACGTTGAAATAAGTGCCACGTTGTGTTGTACAACTCATTTTCTGGGCCAAAATATCTGAGTTCAAGTTGCAGGTTCATTTTGTAGTAACTGGATGGTTGGATTGTGTTTATTTGTTTGTTTGCTTGCTTGTTTGTTGTTTGTTTGAAACAGAGTCTCACCTGTGTAGCTGGTGCTTTCTTGTTCCAGTTGGCCTCAAATTCATGATCTTCCTTCCTCAACCTCCAAAAATGCCAGCATTATAGGCATTGCCACTGTGCCCCGCTGTTAACTGAATGGTCTTGTAATGTTACTTACCTACATGTGCCTCATGATCATCAGTAAAATATAAGTAAGAGAATTCGATGGGCTACTTAATGATACCAGAGCAGCCTAGGCTACAGTGAGACCCTGTCTCTAATAAAAATGAGTGTTTTCTATCATAGACTTTTTACAAGGACAGTGAACTTAATATCTAACACACTGTATTTCACACGTATGTGCTAGTACTATGATTTATAGCCCAATAATAATAACTGTTACCATTTATTGTCCTAAGAATCATACTAATGCTTTTAATCTTAGAGAGTTTCATTTAAAGTATGGCAGAAATCAATGTTTTAAAATGTGTAAATTTTTAACATTAAGTTTCACAGTGTGTTATAGATTATATTTAAACTTCTGAGAGCTTTATTAAATGTGTTTCCATTATTCCTTGCACATAAAACTGTAAGTGATAGAAGTTAGGTATTAAAATGTGCTATGAATTACTATATGAGGACTAGAATTCATTTAATCTAGTTTCATCCATGCTGCTAAGTACTTGTGTGTTTGTCTTAAGGCATAGAAACTTAGACACCAAAACAAAATTTTTCTTTGTCTTTTTTGTCTTTGTTTCTTTCCAATTATCAAAATTAAATCTTTTGCTAAATAAAAGCTACTTATTGTGTATAAAATATTACAAAATATGTATACACTGTAGAATGGCTAAGTTGAGATGATGAGCATGAGCTTTGCTTCCTGGACTTAAAAGTTTTAAAACAAGAACACCTAGGATCTATTGTTGAAATTTGGAACAGTGTAATGCATTAGTGTGCCCCTTTAAAGGCCTTTTCCACCATCTCTGTGCTTTTCAGTGGCCATGTATAAGGAGCCGTCTCTGCACGATCTCACGGAGTTCTCCCGATCTGGAAGTGGGACCCCGACCAAGAGCAGAAGCGTCTCCGGTGTCCTGAATGGAGGCAAATCCATGAGCCACAATGAATCAACGTAGCCAGTGAGGGCAAAACGAGGGCTCTATAACAGAACCTTACCTCCAGGTGCTGTTGAATTCTTCTAGCAGTCCTTCATCCAAAAGTTCAAACTTATCAGTGAGGTTTACCAAACATACAGGCAGAGTTCCCTATTCTATCTGCCATTACACCTTGCTATCATCCATACTAAAGCCCCCATAATTTAGATTGAGCTTGTGCAAAAGAATGCCAAGCATTATCAATGAACTAAATCTGGAAGAAGGACTGCCAAATTTTCTCATGATCTCACCTATACTTTGGGGATAACACAGCAAAAAATATTTCACAGCACTAACGCTGGTCAATTTGCATCCCAACAAGAAAATTTAAAAGACCACAATCATTCTTTAAAAAAAAAACAACAAAATAAAATTAACTGCTTAAATGTTTTGTAGGGGCAAACGAATTCTGTGAACCGTGTTGTTTTCTTGGCTTCATGTTTTCTATCTATGCTTGATTCAAATGTACTCTTTAATATAGTGAAACTGTATGATTTCTGAAATTCAATGGTTCTATTGACTCACTTAATCCAAATCAACCAAATTCAGGGTTGAATCTGAATTGGCATCTCAGGCTCAAGGTGACAGTATTCTTAGGATTTTTCCTCTCTCTCCCTCACCCTCCCCACCTCTCTTCCTCCTCCGCCTCCCATTCTCTCTATCTCCCTTTCTTTTTTGTTGTTGATTAGAACTGTAGCATTCTGGTCAAGTTCTTGTGCTGTACTTTGTGCGTAGAAATTGAGTTGTACCGTCAACCCCAGTCAGTAAAGATAAGTTGAGACAAGATTATCCTCAAGTGTAGAGTTCTCTCGATTCCATTCGTGTATCACATTAATCTATTGTTGTGGAACTGTGGAACAGTGCTGTTGTCTTTTGTGTTGTTCACATATGAACTGTCTCATCTGTACATGTACAAGTCCTCCCGTCGTTGTATTTGGCACGTGAACACTGTATTGTGTACAAGGAAATGTTAAGACTGGTTCCCCCTAAACAACATATATTATACATGCTACTGGACAAGTGTTTAAGACTTAGCTAGGTTTCCATTTAGATCTTCATATCTGTTGCATGGAAGAAAGTTGGAATCTTGGCATAGAGTTGCATGATATGTAAGATTTTGTGCATTAATAATTGTTAAAATCTGTGTTCCAAAAGTGGACATAGCATGTACAGGCAGTTTTCTGCCCTGTGCACAAAACGTTAAAAAAGTTGTTTAATATTTGTTGTTGTATACCCAAATACGCACCGAATAAACTCTTTATATTCATTCAAAGAAAAAAATAAACTTCAATGTGTATTTGTTATCCATTATGTGCCATCAAGTATATTAGAAACTGGACTTAAACACTGAATTTCATAGATAAGGCCTCTAAGTTCAGAGAAGCTACAGTATAGACATCTGTGTTCGTATGAACACAAGTCTTTAAAGTGTGCTTCTTAATCTTAAACTTTCAGATTGATACTGAAGAATCCTCACTGTCATTCAGCAAAGAAAGTGTACAAGGATCTGTGGTTAGTCGTTCCTTTTGCATTCACAGTGCCTTCGCTGTCCCTTTGGCTCATTTCTCTTCTCTGTAGCTAAAGTTTTCTCCATCTGGGAAAATAGAAGGAAAATCGAAGCCTTTTTTCCTGTGGATGCCTTTGATCTAGCCCCCCAGAGATGCTATGTCTGATAGTGAAGGCTTTGTGGGTAGTCAGCATGGGAAGAGTGGTGGAGCAAAGCAAACAAGGGGGTGTGTTTCAAAGCATGTGTGACATAGTTACCATGGCACAAACAGTTTTGCAGACAGATAGGATTCCCAAGATGTTTGGGCCAGATTTAGTAGAAGCTCCTCACCGGTCTCAGCCCAGTCACTTTGTGACTCCATCTTAAGGCCTGCTCTGCTGGCTTCATCTGGCCTGAGCGCTGAAGCACAATCAGGAGGTAAGGCACTTGCCTGTCTGGAACTCAAGATGTTGTATAAACACCACTAGACTCACTTTGCTCCCTCTGCTCATCTCCCTTGGTCCAAGCACCTTAATATTGTTTTTGGCTGTTTGGGTTGCTGGTCTTATTTTTTTCATTATTCAGGAACATGTTAAGTCTATTGGTCATAAACGTGTCAGCACTTTGTTGTGTCAGTACAAAAGAGTGAAAATGCCCAGAAAGAAAGTGTACTCTCAGAGAGTTCTCCTTGAGCTACCTTGTTTTTCATTTTGTTTTGTTTTGTTCAAGAAAGGTCTCATTATGTAGCCACAGCTGGCCTGGAATCCACTATAGTAGACCAGGCTGGCCTTGAACTCACTGCTATCTATTTGGGTCTTCTTGAAGTTGTTTTGAACAGTTTGTATTCATTAAAAGAAGTAAACAAAGAATTCAGAATTGTCTATAAGTAGTGGTGGTGCTTGTCCATGCTTTACTGCACATATATTCACACATTCTTCATGGCAAAAATATTGGTCCTACCACATGCTTCATGAAATTAAAAACATAAAAAGGCTCTATGATGAAACAAAAGACTGAAAACACTGTTACTTCTCCAACTTTCACACATAGTCAAGAGCGCCTAGGATGTTCAGAAATCCTGGATTCTAGTTTACAGCGGGGCCAAGACTTTGAATTTCTATCCAGTTCCTGTGTTTTACTGAAGATGCAGTCTTCCCCTCCTTGAGTTAAAAGTGTGTGTGAGTCCATTGCATGCTGCAGAGCCCCCAGGTTAAGTAAGGAGCTCTGCTTAACTTAAAAAAAAATAGGAAAAGGCTGACTACAGAGCCCTATTTTCACAGAGCACCTATTAGCACCACAGTAGAGGGGTGGCCCTCAAGCTTTTTGTCAGTCCTAGAATCCCACTGTAGTGGTTATACATTTGCATGGCTTTAAACTGGCTCTGAGAAATCTCCTGCATTGGGTATTGGCCATAGTTTGAAAAAACAATGTTCTATGGCATAGCACCTGACCTCACATTACCATAGGGAATACATATCTAACCCTTACACTGTGTAGAGCCTAGAATCAAATGTGGAAAAGATTATTTTCTTCATGCTAATTGCAATTCTTTGAAAATAAAATAAGCTCTCCTTCCAACCAGGAGTTTTGTTGGTAGCCCAAGAGGGCTCAGGTACATGTTTCCAAGTATCCATTTCCCAAGTGAATATGTGGAGAGGGTGAATATCTAATAAGATCATCTTCCCATCTGTAGAGGCTGATTATAATCATTCTGTGCATGAGTGGTGGTAGACTCAAAACAGATAATCACTTCGAATAAATTTCATCCTAAAGTGCCTTAAAAGCCTCATAAACTGAAGTGCACTATTCCTGGGTTAAATTGAAAGGTGTTCTCACTGGGATGTTTCAGAAACATCTAGCTTTCTACCAAGAGTCTCATAAATGAAATCTATACACTGTCTATCATATTTTCTAAATTCTTTTAACCTCTATTCAAAGCCAGCTCCACAATTTAGGAATTTAGGATTATGGCAGAATCTCACTAGCTAGTACCGTAACCTAGACTGGGTTATAGTAGTGCCATAAGATACAATGATTTCTAGTTACAATTAGAATTGGTGAGTTGTAGCTAGAATAGCACACTATAACCTCAAATTCATAATCATATTTATACAACTTGTCATGACTCTATCCACAAAACATTGTACCATGATATGGCCTGATGCATTAGTTATCCTGGAATAAAAAATACCTAGATATCCTGAAATGAAATTACCTGGTTACTATGCAAAATTTCTCTATAGCCTCAGGTATACTTTTCCCTTTTAATTATTAAGAATCCTATAGGCAGTAGTGCACTCAAAATTTGCCTGCATATTGAATGACAGAGAAAGATTGCATAGTACTCCTGGGACCAAATGAACCATCTGCCCCCAGCCACCTGAATAGCTAGGACTAATAGCATATGCCATAATGTCTGTTTTCTACAAGGCCATTATTTTGTCATACTGATGATTAGACCCAAGGCCTGGTGAATTCTAGGTAAATTACTACTGAGCTGTATGCACAGTCCTCTGTATAGACATTCAGTTGCTTTTTATTGTTGTTTTTATTTGTTTGGTTAGTTTGAGGGTTTTTTATTGAGAGTTTCATACAATGTATTTTTGTATGATATTTTGTGTTCTGACAAATAAAGCTTGCCTGGAGATCAGAGGGCAGAGCTAGTCACTAGTTAACCATAGAGTCAGGCAGTGGTGGCACATACTTTTAATCCCAGCCCTAGGGAGGTGGAGACAGGAATATAAGGAAGGAAGAGCAAGGATCTGGCCCTTTCCTTCTGAAGATTCGTAGAGACAGGATCCTTGCCTTTTGGTCTGAGGAATCATAGAGGTAAGAAGTCTCTCTAGGTGGCTAGTTGCTCTGCTTCTCTGATCTTTTAGCTTTCACCCTAATATCTGACTCTGGGTTTTTATTGTTAAGATTAATTAGATTCACAGTTCATCTGGCATCAAACTTTTGAGGCACGAATTCACAAAAATAAAAAAAAAAGGCGCTTGGCTGTGGCTTTGCAGCCACTGGCACACGCATTAGCTGCATGCAGGGGCTCCTGCCAGAGTCACCACCTGCTAGGTTTTCCTGTCTTTTTTCCCCAATCCTCTGAGCAAGTTTGAGATTTTTCTGTTGCAGCATCTCTGCAACAAACTTCACAGGCATTTGGACGCCAAATGCCACTGGAGTTAGCCAAGGGCAGAGTTAGCCGCTAGTTAACCACAGAGGCCAGGTAGTGGTGGCACACACCTTTAATCCCAGCACTTGGGAGGAGGAAGCAGGAAGATCAGGAGTTCAGGGCCACCTTGGACTACACCAGATCAAACCAGTCTAAAAGAGAAACAGAGCCCTGGGTGGTGGTGGCACATGCCTTTAATCCCAGTGCTAGGGAGGTGGAGACAGGAATATAAGGCAGGTGGAGATGGGATCTCACCCCCTTTTCGGTCTGAGGAGTCAGAGAGGTAAGAGGTGACTGTGGCTGCTCCTTTGCTTCTCTAATCTTTCAGCTTTTACCCCGATATCTGACTCTGGGATTTTATTATTAAGTCTAATTGGGACAGCGCTACAATGTATTTTGATCATATTTACTCTAGCTCCTCTCAGATATATAAATACCCTTCCCAATTTTCTGTCTTTTTTTTTATAACCCACCAAGTCCATCCAGTTCATGCTACTTAAATCTCATAAGTGGGGCCAACCATGTGAGCGCCTCCCCTAACCATGCTGGAATATTGACTGGCTTTATCTTTTACAAGTATAGTACAGGTAATCCTAGTTGCTGAGACTTCATGAGTGCAGAGGTACTGTCATATTGAGAAGGCATTGTTTAACTCTGATTCTCCCTGACCTTACTATCTTTACATCTACTCTACCACAATAGTCCCTGAGCCTTAGGAGGAATATGTATAAGTGTCCCATTTATGGCTGGTCACTCCACTGACACTTTATTCTCTGCACTTTGGCCACTTGCAAGTTGCTGCATTAATTGCTGTCTAATGCACAAAGAGCTGCACTAATCTATGTATATGAAGATGAATTTAAAAAGCTGTCTGATACTATGTCTATTCACCTGAACAATCATAGGAGGTTCATTTATGAGATGGGTGAACTTCCTTACCATTGGTTCTTGACCAGATTTACAATACTTTGTATTTCTGCTCATGGAGTGGACCTTAAATCCAATAGTATAGAGATCGGTTATCCCCATAACATTCACGCCACTATTGCACCCATAGGCGTATCTTGCCATGATAGTCACAGCTACATAAGATGATGATTTTTCCCAAGCAGCATGCATACCACCTTCCAGTTCTATGAAAGCTAGCTAGTCAAGACAGGTGGAAGCTGTATGTGGATGTTCTTGAAGAGGTTTATAACAGCTACAATTCTGCACGGGTCTTTCTAGAGCATGTAACATTCATGATGTTCAGCTTTAGAATTCTAAAATAACCCAACCCAATTTCTCAGCTTTTATATTTGTTTCAAATATTTCCTCCCTCTGTATAAATATCACACATGCACAAGCACAAACCCTCATGTGCCTCCCAAAGGACTTTGGTTGGAGACTGATCATAGGAAAACTAGAACAACCAGACTTAGAAATCCATGGTTCTCTGTCTTCAGAAGCAGTCCTGAATTTCCTTAAAATAAGGATTTACTCAGGTTTTTCCTACAATATATTAACATATTTGCATATATTTTGCACTCTAAATAATTATGTATATTTTTAAACACCTTTGTTTCCACTTCTACATGAGGCTAGCCATTAGAGTAAAAACATTGGGTGATGACTAAATGCAAACCCAACATCTTTGAATCAATTGCTCAGCTTGTT